GCCTTCGCTGGAGCCGTAGCCAAGGCCCAGCCCGAGGATACGCAACCAACGCAGGATCTATCCGACGAACAGACTCAATCGACGTTCTCAACCACAGCTGTTTATCCACTTCGCGATTCCTTCATCCTAGACTCTGGATCCGACTTCCATATATGCAATAATTCTAAACGCTTCGTTGAAGGATCTTACAAGGTTTGCGACAATACCGAAGGCGCTTACTCTGGAGACACACACCTTGAAATCCTTGGATATGGTGATGTGATCATCCGGATTGGCGAAATGGAAAAGTTCAGACTCCAAAATGTAGCCTACATTCCAAGATTCCACACAAACGTTGCGTCCCTGGATCTCTTCCTCCAGAGAGGATACAACTGGAACCCAGCAACAGGCGCCGTCTCAAGAGACGGAAATACGATCTTTCGCACAGAGAGGCGATATCGCCAGCCTGTCATTGAATTCAACCAAGTCGATTACGAATCGCACATGCCACTGGCAACCGCTTTCACCTCATCCACGCAGCCGAGACCCGAGTCCGCCGCAGAAGCCACTCAATGGCATCAACGCCTAGGTCATCTTGGTTCTGAAGCCCTTGAACACCTAGTTCAACAAACAACCGGAGCCAAAATCAAAGGCCCGCTCAAGATAGAGTGCAAAGACTGTGCCATCTCCAAAGCAAAACGCATTGTCTCGCGACGAAGCCCGCAGACAAAAGCACCACGACCATTCTGGCGCATCTACGTTGACATCTTCGCCATGAGCGACGGATACAACGGAATGAAACACGCCGTGCTGATCAAAGATGAATGCACATCCATGATCTACATATATCTCCTAAGAGATGCAACCACTGAAAGTGTCCTAGGAGTGTTAAAGACCTTCGAAGCCTACATTCGACGACAATTCGACACATCGATCTGCGTTATCCATCGAGATAATGACAGAGCACTTCAGTCAGAATATGCTGCATGGGTCAGATCCCAAGGGATCCAAGATGAACCCACTGCGCCTGACACACCGGCACAAAACGGGCCTGCTGAACGATCTGGGGGGGTAATAGGCAGCCAGTCTCGCACAATGCAGGTTGCTGCCAACTTTCCGGACGAACTGTGGCCTGAGACCTGGAAGACTGCGGTGTATCTACACAACAGATCGCCGCAGCAGGCAAACAACTGGAAAACACCGTTCGAACGGCTGCACCAGTGGCTACAGGACAACAATCGTGATACCGGATACCTCCTGGCACAGCCCGACATTACCAACCTTAAGGCGTACGGATGCCGCGCCTATCCGCTGACCAGGGAAGCTCTGCAAGGCAAGCAGAAGAAAAACCTGAAGATCCATCCACATGCAGAGATCGGATACCTTGTTGGATATGACTCCACCAACATCTTCAGGATCTGGATTCCAGAACGAAAAGAGGTTCGCCGAGTCCGAGACGTGACCTTTGACGAAACCCGTTTTTATGATCCAAGAGATCACCCGCAAAAGCTTCACATCGAAGAAGCAGAACCACAACTTCAGCTCCCTGCCCATATTGAAAGCGACCCAGAACCTGAGAAATCCGAAGAGACCAGGACAGAGGCGCATAGTGAGCCAAAATCGCCACCTTTGAAGGAGGCAGAAAGCGAAGATGAAACCCGATCAACTATTTGGGTTGGAAGCGAAGATGAAACCCAATCAACTATTTGGGTTGGTGGCCAAAACCACTCCGACGAAGAAACGGATCAAGAGCTTGAAAACTTCGACAGCCAAGCTACAAGCTGGACCGTGAGTCCAACACCTGATGAGAGTCACAGAGGCTCCTTCAGCCCGAATCTTCAAGATCAGGATAATCAAGAGAATCGACAAGACCATGACAACGAACATGAGATCGAGATCGATGATCAGTCAGTAAGAGAAGCGGAGAACCCGCCAACACGCAAATCATTGCGACAAAAGAAACCAAGTGAACGAGCTCGCGAAGCAGCAGCTGGTTCATGTGCAGTTTACCGAAGCAGCTTTTTCATCGGCCGAAAACAAAGGCTGCACCGACGAAGTCTTCCTCCAGAACCAAGAAACTACCATGAGCTAATCGGACACCAATTTGAACAAGATTTCAAAGAAGCCATGGAAGTCGAATGGGCTAGTGTACAGAAACGAGGAACGGTTCAGCCAATTCCCAGAGATCAGGCAACCGGCCAAATAAGCCAATCCCCAGAGATCAGGCAACCGGCCA